GGCTTGAGGGATATGGGCACAAGGATCTGTGACCTCTAGCTAACACTCCCCACCAGAACCTGGAATGGAACCCAAGCTTCCTGAGTTCATACACGTGCATTCCAGAAACATACAGCAATGTCTATGGGTGTGTGTGTATTTTATATACGCACACACAGAGAGAGATTCATATACACATACACATAAATAAATAAAAGATTTCCAAAATAAAACACTCCCCTGCACATACTTCATCTCGTGGGGAGAGGATGAGAGACCACATGATGGACGGTAGTCACATTGCTGAATGCACTGCTGGAAAGCACTCAGATACTATGGTGCTGAGCATGGTATGAGTCCCTAAATAGAAGAGAATAGAGTCTCTCATTGCTCCGCTGTCAGCAAATATCTCTGAAACCCTCTGGCAAAATGTGCGTCTCATCCTCCTCTGGTGACTGGTGTACATAAGGTCTGACAACCAACTACCATAGCAGCTACTCTGTTAGCTCCAGTGGCCGAGGATGCACGGGCCACCTGAATTCTGGCATTTCCAAGACGTTGAGTGTTTAACGTTGCAAATTTAATGTTCTTTTAATGCAGTTTTGTGTGTAATACAATATATGTAATAAAATGTAGACAGCATATAAACAATAGCTCAGAAAGTAAGTGGGAATTGCTTCCTTTCATCTCACTGGAGCATTAACCCTGACACCTAATGATGATATTTCAAAGGCCATCATCAAATTAACTAATTCAATATTGATCAAAGCATGAAAGAACAAAAGGAATGATCATGTTGGGCCTGACCCAAAATCCATTAAAGTCAGAGGAAAGACTCCCATTGTCTTCAGTGGGCTTCGGATCGGGCTCCATATCAAGACCTGCACAGTCCATGGTGAGTGACATTCAAATTTCCACATATTATTTTAGCCTCACATCTGAGTGAGTCATGCATGGGGAGTGGGGAGAATAGTACCAATTGCCCTGCTAAACTGACTCCTACATATATGACCTGAGGATGCTAAAAAAATAATTTATCTCACACTTACAATGAATGTCCAACTGAAAAATAATAATGGATTTGAAACATTTCTCTCCTCTTTATTGTTTCCTTTTGGGTTTTTCCTGTGCATTCTCATTTAGACTGTAATAGGGGCAAAGCTAATGGACCAGATACACCTCTACCCTGATATAACGCTATCCTCGGGAGCCAAAAAATCTTACCGTGTTATAGGTGAAACCGTGTTATATCAAACTTGCTTTGATCCGCTGGAGCGCGCAGCCCTGGCCCCCCCCTCCGGAGTGCTGCTTTACCGCATTATATCTGAATTTGTGTTATATCGGGTCGCATTATATCGGGGTAGAGGTGTACTGTAGTTACAAAATTAAAAATCCACTATAGGACAGTACATTGAAATGATATGGGATTATGGGCACCAGCTATTGTTCAGTTTCGATTTGCCTTCATTTTACTTACACACCTATATGCACGGTGCTATCACACTGTCTGTTACTCTACACTGACATTACAGTAAGCCATACTGGCTGAGGTTTTCACGGCAGTTTAGGGGATTGAGACACATCACTCACATTCATTTCAATGGAAGTGATGCCCCTCAATCCTATATCTAAATCCATAACCCGGAAAGGCTCCTTGTTGTTCTTTTTCACGCACAAAACACAATCTGATTCCTGCTGCCGGGTCTGTGATTTCACAGTGCAGAATCTAAGAAAGAAAGAAAGTTCAGAAATAGAAGGGCTGAATCATGACTCGGAGAGCAGCAAAGTAAGTTCCTGCAGGCTGCAGAAATGCAGCCCCAGGTCATGGCTTTCCTCCTTCCTCCGGCTCTGTGGTTCTCGTTCGGTAGAGAGGGATCTAAATGGCTCTTTCAGGCTGCAAGCCAGTGTCTGGCGTGGGGGAAACAACCTCCAGAGCCTTTGCTGGGAGGGAGCAGCAGAAGCAGCACTTGTCCTGTAATCGATTGCCGAGTGTGCTGAGCAGCCCAGAGACACCCTCCCAGATCCAGTCCTGCCTCTCTCTCCGGCTCAGGGTGTCTCTGAGAGAGGCTGCCTGGGTGAGATGTGTGATGTGTGTGTGTGTGTGTGTGTGTGTCTTTGCCGGATCGGTTTCTCGGGGTTTGACCAGCTGTCCCAGGCTAACCCTGCTCTCTGAAGATGGAGGAAGTAAAAACAGGATTACCCTTAGCTACAGATCCACTGCTTACAGTTTCCATAACCAACTGCAGTGCCCAAACACACAAGCCTTAGGCACAGACAGCAAGGGAGAGGAGACACTAATAAACACACAAAACAAAAGGGTGATGGAAGTGAGGTACTGCATGCACTGCTGAGGTAAATCTTCGCTTGGCATTTTGTTTTTCGTGGGGGGAAGAAAGAGCTCTGGCTTATTTGTGTGATGGCTCATAGAAATCTCTGTGTGAATGTCTCCGCTTTGCAAAGGGGGGTGGGGGGCTGGCTCCAAGTAAAGTGTAATTATCTGCAGCATCTCTCGCGCTGTGATGGGATCAAATGACTTGTTGCTGTTAACCAGGAATAATAATAATAAATCGGTCTGTATGTGTGTGTTGGGGGGAGGGGGAAGATGAACATTATTATTTGTTGTAGGTTTAGCAGAGTGACTGGCTCTCAGGGGTAGGATTGGCAAAGCCTTTCGGGGTGCCTTTTTTTTTTTTTTTACAATTAAAATTCTTGTTTTCTGGGATGTTAATCGATGAATCAGTTCTCAGCTCTGGAAACTGACCACAAGGGTTTGAATGGCAATTTGCAACCGCGTCCCATTCTAGCTGCAGCTCCCTGGGAGAAGGGGATCTAGATCCCTTTTTAGTATTATTACTGGCATGACACACACGATATTGAATAAGGCAGGACTTAAATTACTTTGACAGGTTGTGCTCTGGGCGGGGAGAGGCAGAGATGAAATTAAGATCTCTTCATTTTGCCAAGGGCCAAAAACAATCCTGTGAAGTTGGCCTAGGTTTATGGCTCTGTGTGGGTGTTTTTTTTTTAACTTCTCTGTTCCTCCCCCCCCCCTCCAAGTCCCCCCTTTCTTCCTCTCCTCCAGTTTTCTTGTCGATTCTTAAGGAACCGGTGGATCAAGTTTTTCTCTCTCCTGGTTAATCGCATTGCTGTAGCACTGGCTGACCTCTCTCCCCCTCTCCCTCCCTCCCTCTCTCTCTTTTTGTTCTTCATCTTTCCTGAAAGTATGTGCCATTCCTGAGCGAGTTTCTCAACAAGACCATCCCAAGGGAGGGAGACCTCGCTCTTTTTTTCCCCTTTCCTGTTCAGTTTCCCCACCGATCCGTTCGCTCTGAATGTTCTACTTGTAAGTTTCAGGGGACGGACGGGGCGGGGGAGAGGGGATTTTAATTTTGGGGGGGGGGTTAACTTTTCCCATCTCGCTATGTCTTCAATCCGATCATAACTATCTCTCCATTCGTGGTGGGCAGGAGGGGGTTAGCAGCGGAGATTTGCCATTACACCTGGGCATGGTGATCAAACTCTCTTTTTTCTTCATTTCAAATAATCAAAGAACATTTTCTTTTATGTATATTTCATTCCTTCCCCCTCCACCCTTCCCGTCCTTTCCTTTCTTTCCTTCCATTTCATTGGCTAGGATGATCTTCTTTCCCTGTTGCTTCTGACGTGTTCTCCGTCCCCCCCCCCACCCCCCCATGTGTGTCTGTCTACCTGTACTAGGGGAAAGATAAGGTAACATTGAAAGGGCTTGAGGAAGCTGCTTGTCTGTTTTTATTTTAAAGTGATCTCTAAAAGTTGTTACAATCAGTAATGGCAAGCGTTTGATAGCAGCTCTCCAGTTTGAAATGTAAGTGTTATGTGTACCGAGTGTCTTGGGAATTTGATCTGCCTTATACCAGAGAGGAACACAGAGAAAAGTTGTTGTTTTGGGGGGGGGAGGAGGACAAGGGGGGTAAGGGAGAGGGAAGTGGTTTTGGAGACAAGAAGTGAAGCTGCCTGTTTTCCAGTAAGTAATGGAGAAATTCCAGGAGCCAGGGCTAAATATACTCGGCGATCAATACAGAAATGGCTCATTGTGAATAATTTAGCTGCTTGGTGCAGTGAGAGTTTTGAAACTAAAGGCAAAAAAGGGGCCGTAGATGGAGAGAGGAAATAAAATTCTCCTCTGATTATGTCAGTTTCTTAACTTTTCCACTTAAAAGAATATAGTTACGATTATTGATTTCTTCCCCTGCCTCTCTCTCTCTTTCTCTCTCTTTTAATCAAATGAAAGCTAGGGGGTGTCATCCTATACAGTTACTTGAGTTTCTGGAAAGTAATAGCTTGTTCTATGTCAGCAAAGTGCTTCCAGAAACTTTGAGATTGGCACACACCACAAAGTGCATGCTCTAGAAATATTAAATATGACATGCAGCCCCTAGTATGATAGATAGGTATGGTTACAATGAACAGGTGCATGCACAGGTGTCTGGGTGTGTGAGTGAGGATGCTCGATCGCCAATTGAAGACAAAAGGCTGTAATAACTCTGAAAGGAATATGGACACTGAAGGGTTTTGTTTTTAGTCAGAACATGATGAGCCACCATGGAATAAATGTGAAAAGGGCAATCTTTATAGTATCAACATCTTGGAAGCCTGCTGTGGCTGTGAGAACTGCTAATTGATAAAGCATTAAAATCCCAGTTAAAACATACCTGGTCCAATTGGAACCTCAAAAAAAAATCATTAAAGCAGCTGGAACTGTAATTAAAAATCAAATTATAGTCTCAACACAGCTCATCAAGATGCAAACTTACCTTTTCTACCCCCATCTGCAGCAGCTTTAGATCATTTGCCAAAAGAGTTCAGTGACTTACCAGTGCACGGCGTGTGCTCATTTGCATGTTTCTTAGGTGCTGGTTGCAGCAGCAGTAGCAAAAGAGGCAACTACTAATGGCTTTAAGTAAGTTTAAGCATTTAATGGCTGATACTGGCAGGCATTTTTGAGGGTGTATTCTTTTGCCTTGTAGCACTGCACTTTGACTATGGAAGCAGAGGCTACTGATGGATATATAACATGTAAGTACTTTTATTTAATTTTGTTGGTTTACTTGTGAAGTCTCCTTTGCTTTCCTTTTCACAATATCTCTGTAGAAAGTGTTATACCCCCCCCCCCCCCCGAAACTCTTAACTTTCATTTGTGCTGTTATTAAACTCCATATTGTAAGAGAACGCTGGAGAGAGACCATTTAACACTAAACTTTAGTGGTTATTTTTAAAAACCACTATATTATATACTTAAATATTTTCATAAGAGAGCAATGTTTATTTTATATAAAACATAAATGAGAAACAGGACAGAAACTAAATCATTTTTTACTGTGAGGCTTTTTAGTACTGTGCATTGCTCCCTTCTTGTTCATTAGGGGAAAATATTTTTACTTTGTTGAACTATTCTAGCTTAGTGGCCAGCTACATGAAAATCATGAATCAAAATTGGAGTGGAAGGTCCTTACATCAGAATGATACTCCACTCTGCTCCGGTTCAGTCTCTAGTCTGTTAGCACCACAGTACGTAGAAATGGGCAAGTAATTCTAAGTTCTGTTCATGTAAAGCAGCCAGAGCAAGATTTGCACGTGTACTTTTTATAATCTGTGAGGACTGGAGGATACTTTTTGATTCTAATAAAAAAAATATTATGTTTGTGGTCACTAGGAAGCCAATTTTAGTTGACCGTGGAGGAATCTATTAAAAGGGGAAGGCGGGTGGGTAGAAAAGAAGTTAGCAAGTCTGAATGCTGTATAATTGGATAATTTTATGGTGCCATGGGACAGAAACCTAAGTGTTTTATTTTGTGAAAGCAGGTGACAATGAGCTTTCGCCCGAAAGGGAGCACTCCAACATGGCTATTGACCTCACTTCAAGCACACCCAATGGGCAGCATACCTCACCAAGTCACATGACAAGCAGTAAGCCTTCTTTTTGTGTATTTCTCTCTAGCAGCATATTTGGACTAGTTTAGTCTGTGGGGTCTTCATCTTGCTCACTAGACTAAAGCCACTACCGTAGATTTTGCTACCAAAGAAGAAAAGGACGGGACAGATTTGGTTTTGTTCATGTTAGTGTCTCTTCTAAACATGAGTCTGATTACTAGTCTGAAGTATCCCAAGGTGGCATTTGAGAGCTGGTCCTTACCTGTACCAGGTAGGAAACACTAGGTTTTACTAGTCCTTGTTTTGCTTTGACGGTTTTGAGATCCAAACAGCTTTTTAGCAGGATTCCAAAAAGCAGTCTGAAATAGCTGTATCTAAAAAGCCCACAAGCTTTTATTTCAAAAAGGCTTGACTCAAGCAAAATCTAAAGTTACACTATGCAGGCTTGATGGCAGGATATATTTTACTGTTCTGAATGGAAACTTCAGCATCCTGTTCATTACCTTAGCTTTGCTTTGAAAATTTCAGAAAATGGCCAGTATAAATTGGTAATTTATGGAACTCTCTCACCAGTTGAGTCTTTAACAAATTGAAAGGGTTTTGTTTTAGAATGTCAAAAGAGAAACTGAGAAAGTGCAGAGGGATCTGTGAGTGTAACACCGAGAGTCAGGTGTACTTAATATTTTTGATGATGGATTTTTTCACCCTTAAATGAAACACCTTTCAGCTACATTTTGGAGCCTATACATACTTTTATCTTAAGAACATAGATTGTTTCACTGTTGATTACAATGTTTTATCAAGATACTTATCATAAAGTGCTTTATTATTTGTATTCAAAAGTAATTTAAAATGTATTGTTTCCAATATACTTTCAGTGGGTTTTTTTTTCTTTGTGATACTCATTTTTTCTCTCTCTCTCTTTCTCTTGTGTGTGTGAATATATACAGTAAAAAAAAGTTGTACATTTCTCCAAATATTCAGGAAGGAAAAGTAAGGCATTAAGAATTTGTTTGTTTGTAATAATAAGTATATTATCCTCAAAGCCTTTTTTACTGAGAGGAAAGTGTTACTTTACCTCCTGCAAATTACGAGTAAAATACAGATTTTATGAGCCTTTAAAACTGAGGGTTATTATGAAGATCTCCAATTATATACATGTTGCTAGAGAATGTGATTGCTAACACTCTGGGCTGAACTTTATATGACATCCTGTCCTAATTCAGCAGCTTTAGACAATTCCAATCCTGCTGCATTGGGATTCTGATTTTTTTTTTTTTTTATTGGCTTATAAAAGTTTTACTACTCTCTTTGTTTACATTTTTATTAATGGGAAGGCTTCATCAGAGATAAGATTTAAAACAGTGGGTTTTTTTCTTTATCATATAGGCTAAAAACCAGGGTCTAATTAATGAGTACAGCTGTCTGCTGAGTTCATGTGAAAATATTTTTGCATTTGATTTCGCTGTGCAATGATTTGCAATGATTATTCTAGTTTAATCTCATTCATGCCTGCAACATGCATGTTCCGAGTTCAGCATATGCACATGGCTCCTGGTGTTGGCGAAAATTCCTGAATATTTAATCTTGCATGTGTGTCAATAACTTTCACTGTTTTGGCCTGTTTTAAGGATATGTTGATGTGGACAAATGTAGGGCTCTATCCAGTGTTCTGGAGGCAGGTAAAATTTGATTTGGGATGCAGGACTTTTGCCTGTATGATTGGAACCGAGGAATACGACCCCCTCTTTTTCATATAGCATTCTTCTTCTTTTCATTACAAAACTAGATTTTTCTTCTGATCAAACATCAAAATGTTTTAGAGTGAGGAGCTTTATCTCATGTCAAAAAAATCAAAGATGTTGATTAGAGGCTGTCAGGCTTTTGTTGCAGTTGAATTGGTTAGTTTACACATAGGGCCAAATCTTCAACCCAGTGGATACAGGCCAAATAACGAGGCTGTGCATTGGGGTCCACCATATGTTCCACATTCAGAGAGCTTCAGTAGCCCGTGGGCCTCTACGTTTTCCCTTTGCAGGGAGGAGAATGGCTATTGGAAACTGCTAAGTTGTGGATTTTCTTGCCTTTCAAAATTCCTGCTGCTGCGATGCAAGCACACCCCATGAAGGTAGGCTCCATAGTAGGTAGGTAGGGAGGACGGGTACTCTGTGTGCACAGACCATGGGTCTGATTAGAAGTCGCTGGAAAGATCTTGATACACTGCTGGAGTGCCCGTTTATTTTGGTACCAAGTGCGTGTAATTCTGATTTGGTAGTGTTTTGCACTACTTTTGCACTGGTGTAAGTGGCGACACAAGGTACTGGGCAGTGCTGTATTGGGGCTGTTGTCTTCCGTGGGAGGTAGATTGGGCCCCCAAATCCTTCACTCCCAGATTTACCTGCTGATCCCCCAAAGAAGTGGAACCTGCATTAGTTCTTCTGGGTCTGCAGGGGTGAAGGTCAGGATTAGATCCTCAGTCCTGTGTTTGAGCCATAGCTCTTATTTCAGCCATGTCCAGTTTAAATGGAGATGAAACCATGACAAGGCAATCTTCCTGGGTATTTTACTATACAGTAAAGAGTGCATCGAGCAGACGAGAGTGCAAGACTTGCTTCTGAACCAATCAAGCAGTTCTCACTCAACAGTAGTAAAATGATGCGCTTGGTGAAGAGTTCTTCATATTTATTAGCCTGTGGCAATTCCATGTTAGTAAGACTTTTGGCCAGGCCACTGATGTTTTCAGCTTCTGTTCCAAAAGGTTGCAGGTTAAATATTTTGGCTCATGTTGAAGAGTCTCTATTGCTTCCTTAACATAGTATCACTTTACGATATCAAAGTTACATGCATAGGTTACAGATGGGGTAGACACCCAATTTTCTTCCAAATGAGATGATCCTGAAAGATAAATCAGGATAGATTGCTTGTCATAGCTAACTAATGATATGTATACCTTACAATATGCATCTCCCTTTAGCAAAGTACAGATAGGTATTGGCAAATACTCAAATAATTCTAAGTAACTTATTGTAACTAAATTGTAAGTAGCCAGATGAATAGGCAGACTGTTTCCCTCCAACTCCAGTTCAAGAAATACTGTACCCAGTAGCATGCTTACATTGAACTATGTGCTTACACTGGCCCAAAGCTGGAAGTTCTAGTTCACCAGTTACTCAGTCCTTACTTGGGTAAACTCTCGTAAGTGCTCTGATCATGCATGAGCTTGGTGTGGATGGATGCCGGTGCTTGATAGAGCCCCATTGACTGACCTCAGTACCACCCATCCAAAGTTCATTGCAGAACAGGGACCGAAGGCCCTGATCCAAAGCTCATTTAAGTCATTGGAAGTCTTTCCATTGACTTTGGTGAACTTTGAATTGGAAATAAAATGGGCAGGGACTTGTCAAAACTGAACAAGATTCTCAGGAGAGGAACAATGTAAAAGCAGATGAAGCAGATAAATAAAGCAATTTTTAAAAGAAACAAAGCTATTCCGGTGTTTTTCCACACTACATTCTTGCTATAGAATTTGTCTGAGAGGAAACACTTTTTCCAGGTTACAATGGACTCAGAAAAAGTCCACTGTAATACAAGGGCTCGGTTGTTTGTTTAGTTGACTTGACGACCACTCTGTGTAACATGAAAGATATTTCTCTAAATCCATTGTCTGCTATTGTATGGAAAATTAATAATGGCAGCTATTGGCGTCTGACCATGTCAGAGGAAAGTTCCACTTAAATTAGAGAGTTAAACGGTGCTACAATGGGTGTCACAGATGGCTTTCTTATTTCCAGGTCTAGATTCAAATACGCCTTAAAATAGAGTAAGAACAATAATAAATATTAAAATCCAACAATTTTGATATTTGATTAAAAAATCAATGCACTTTAAAAATGTTTTTATAACAATGCAGAAAAAATATTAAAGAATAAGAAGTAATTTGATAAGAAAATAATTATAGTTGCCTGAGTCAATTGCTGAACATAATGACTCTACTACAGTAGTTGGCTTTGGGAAACAATAACAGTAGCAGACTAGAAAGCTATTGGGATGATTGTACCAAGTGAAGGGAATTCAAAAAGAGTGTTAAGAAGTTAGAATCTGTTATAGAGAAGTCAGACAAGACATTATTATAAAATTACCTATATTATATTCCAACCAATCAAAAAAGACTATTCCGCACCATCAGTTGTGTCCCTTTCTTGTAACCTTAAAGCTCAAAATCTTGCTTGGTAGCTTTAATTTTCCTTCTGAATTGGAAACTCTAATACAACTCTTGTGTCACCTCTGTCATTTCCCCTGAGCAAAATGTTGCATTTACTGTAGGTGTATCAACTTCACTTCCCACATCACATTTGTTGGAATAAATAAACACATCTATGGATTCTACCTTTTGCAAGGAAACGGCCTGAAATTAAATCGGGTTTGAAGATTGTGTTGTGATACAACCTTGGAACTTTTATTTATTTATTCTCTTGTAGGTAATGAGCACAGCCATTAAGTTTTACAGGATGGCCAATGCAGAATAACATAAAGCAGTAGTTCTGGTTTCACAGGATGTCGGCCAATGACGTTTCTGGGCCAAGCTGATTTTAGAGAGAGGAAGGTTTTGGTTTTTTAAAGAAATTTTGGAAAAAATTAACCATCCTCATTTTTTAAAAACATTTGCGTCACCCAAATCCCTCATCCAATTAACCTCAAACTTCTCAAGAAATATTCTCCCTGGCAGAAAAACATACATGAAGTTTTAGGCAAACTGGCGAGAAATTTTAGGCAAACTGGTTGACTGTTGGTGCCGTTAGAGGGGAAAAGCTCATGCTTTAGACATAAAGTTAGGCTTTGTGTACAAAGAAAAATGTTACTGCTTTAGTACTGATCATTAAAGTGGTAGGAAACCTTGCCCCTCGGTCCGGACACAGTTATACTGGTATGAAAGTGCTTCTATAAGAAGGCAAATAAGCTATAATGGTATAAGACACCTTTATACTGGTGCAACTTAATCCATAGTAGAGGTTGTACTGGTAAAACTATTTTGGTTT